CATGACCTGAGCCGAAGGCAGACGCTTAACCGGCTGAGCCACCCAGGCGCCCCTCATTCCCATGTTCTTAATGCTGCTCTATTTTGCCTTTCCCAATAGTCTAGATGAGGTGATAGTCACTTAGACAAGAGAAATGTCAGTGAAAAAGGAAACAAGTGGCCAAGGCACGTCTGTATGATCTGGTGACTCACTGGAGGTCTGGTGATAAAAGAAAGGGAGAAGTTTAGAATGACCTGGATTTGAACAAATGGAGAACAGAGGTACTATTTACTGATGAAGAGGATTTTTGTGAAGTAGCAGGTTTGAAAGTAAAAGATACTGAAATCAGTTTAGGATATATTACACTTGGTTTGACCAAAAGACATCCTGGTTAGAGATGTCCAGCAACAATAAAAAAGGATATACCATCTTAAAGGTCAGATGATAAGCCTAGGCCAGAAATACAGATTTAAGAAAACAACATATATCTGAAGTTACTGAAGTGATGAAAGTGGTGAGGCCACTGGGACAAGTATACAGAGTGAAGGAAGGGCTAAAACAGAATCCTAAAGAAATGAACATTGAGGGATCAAAAGAGAGTGACATGGAGTGGCCAGAGGTAAGAGGGTCACACACGTTAGGTTGTCAGTACCCAGTTTCATTCCTTTCACTGGTGTGACATCTGGTGACAGGGCTGTACTGACATAGTACTTTATGGCTCTAGATGCCTTTGCAGTCAGAAAAAAATATATTAAATTCTTATTAGAACCTACATTATCTCATGATGCATCTATCATTTACTACATGAGGTTTACATGTCAGCAGGACTTCTCTCTGATAATCTAACAACTAGACTCCAAAATGAACAAAAATTCAATTACATAAAAATTATATATATATAACCTCCATGTCAACAATCAGAAGGATCTTCCCCCACCAACTTCTAGGTTGTAAAGTAACCAAATATCCTATATACCAGATTCAGGTATTATCTGGAGAAGGGAACTGCATATAGAGGACCTATTACGTGTTGCATAAATTACTAAACCCTTTACTTCCATTATGGCTGTTGTGAAAATAAGAAAAAAGACATAAGCCTCATATTAAAGACAAGAAAAATAAGGATCAGGGGCGCCTGGGTGTCTCAGTCATTAAGTGTCTGCCTTTGGCTCAGGTCATGATCCCAGGGTCCTCGGATCGAGCCCCGCATGGGGCTCCCTGCTCGGCGGGAAGCCTGCTTCTCCCTCTCCCACTCTCCCTGCTTGTGTTCCCTCTCTCTGTGTCAAATAAATAAATAAATAAATCTAAAAAAAAAAAAGAAAAATAAGGATCCAACAGAGAAGCTGCTTATCCGCAGTAACATAACTAGCAAAAGTGGTATAAAAGATACTCATCTAGAGATCATGACAGAAAACTTCTCATCTTCTTAACTTTATCTAAAAACATATATACCAGTAAGAGTCAGCAAAAACCGAAAGCAGAAAAAGTTCCAGAAATTACCAAGCTTACTGCTTCTGTACCATCTCATGAGGTCTCTAACATGTTAATCCTAACATCTTTATTCTTTAGGATGTTCTAATCTCGTATCAGCCTGATCACATTATCATCTAACTCCAAAAGGTGTTTCAGCCTGTCCCCCTACTTCCACTACAAACGTATCAATAAACCCAGTGCTCCCCTCCTGAACCACACTCCACCCATTAATCCCACTCCACCGGCCTTTCCAACCTAAAAAAAAAAACTTTCCAAAATCCTCTTTGACCCTTAAACCACTGCCTGACTTTCCCTCTTCCCTTTACCTCTAAACTTCTTTAATTACCTGCTTCCCTTCCCCACTCAATTGAAATTGCTAAGGCATTAGATACTTGCTAATTGCCAAATAGAGTTGCCTTTTAGGCCTCATCTTGAGCTTTCCCCACAACTCACTGATAATTTTTCTTTAAACTTTCCTCCCTAAAATTCTTTAATCTGTCAGATTATCTTTCTGATAGGTTTTTTCCAATCTCCTCTAGCTCTATGTCCTGTTCACCCCCTATGTACATAATTACCCCTGCTTAACATTTGGACGCCCTTTCAGTCTATACATACATTGTCCAATATAGTAGCCATCAGTCAAACATAGTTATCTAAACTTAATTAAAACTAAATAAAAATTCAGTTCTTCAGTTGCACTGAGCCACATTTCAAGTGCTCAACAGCTCAACAACTTAAAAGTGGCTAGCGGGCCACTCTATTAAGATCTAGAACATTTCCATGAAATTTCTTTCGGACAGGGATGGTCTATATACTCTCTTTCCATTCAATCGATACTTACGGAGGGCCTATTGTGTACCAGGCACTGTTCTGGATCCTAAAGATAGAGCACTGAACAAAACAAAGTCCCACTCTTAATAGAGCTGACATCTAGGAGAGAGAGACAATCTCATTTATTCTCAAACTGTCATATGCTGAGGACTCCTAAAGTCTCTCCTGGTCTCAAATCTTGAATTTCCAGCTTCTGCTAGAGTACTATGAAGTATTCTACTCTTCGTCCTAAACTGAACTCAGTATCTTCCTTTCCCTCTCAAACTTCTGTATTCTTGATTTCTGAGTAACCCTGGACTTTTTCTCCTCTGTCCTACCACATACAGTTACCAAACCTTGTTGAATTTATCTGTGTTAAACCTATCTTCTTACCTTTACTACCAGTGCCCTAATGATCTCTTAGCCTCAAACCTCCAAAATTAACTTCTCCAACTGATCTTTCCACATTTTCTTCATGCATGTCCTAGTTCACTCTAGTCCTCTGGCATTAAAATTATACTTCTAAAGCACAAATTTGATCCTGTAATTTCCCAGCTCAAAAACCACCAGATAAACGCCTAAAGAATAAAACAAATCCCTTAGCACGAATTCAAAGCACTACACAATTTGTTTACAACCTACTTTATCCTTCTAATATACTCTCCTGCTACATACTGTACTCTCCAGCCACACCAAATTACTGGGTCCCTTCAAGAAGCAATCTCTCCCCAAAAATTATTTTCTATTTTTCTCCACTTAAATACACAAACACAAGTTTGAATCAGCCACGAAGGCGTGATTCAAATGACAACTTTCTCTAAAGTCTTTATCATCCCCCAATCAATCTTAATTATTTGCTCTACAGAACTGCTGTAGCAATTACACATAACTACTGCACATCAGATTCTCAGCGTTTAGTGCCGGGGGGGGGTGGTGGTGGTGGTATCACGTTAAAGGATTAAATATTTCTCTGAACATTTTGTCTGTGTTACACAGAGACACATTTTTCGGTCATATTCGTGGAAACTTTTCTTTCCTCGCAGGACTCAACAACTTCATACGCTGTGGGTATTCAGTAAGTAAATACTCAACAGAATGTGAGGCCTGCGCGGTATCTTCTCACATTCGGAGAGCGCGCATCGATGCTGCCTGAATGGAGGAGTTGATGGGAACCAGAATTTCTGGGTCCTTCTCCTTCCCAGGATCTTGGTCCCTTTTTCCAAAGGACGACTGGCAGAACAGGAACAGTGGCTCCAGCGTCCACTTGGGCGGAGCAGTCTATGGGGAAGATGAAAGGCCGGGGGAGGAGGTATGGAATGAGGTGGGACGAAACATTCCAGGTGGAGAGAGAATGGAGAAGGGCTGACTTACCTAGAGAATCTCCCCACCGCCTCACTCGCGCCTTTGCGGTTTTTCTTTCGGGTAGTGAACACGCTTCTATCCCGCGAGTTATCTCTTCCGGGACTCCTGGATAAGTTCCGGATCAAGATCCGCGAAGAAAACAGTCATTCTTCCTCTCGCCCCGCCCACAGGTCCCGAACCTAAACCCGAGCTGAAATCCGGCGACGATCCACGGAGGTTCCAGAAATGAGAGAGGAACTTTTGTTTTTTGGAGGCGGACCCCGGAGGGCTGGGGGGGGTGGGGAACGGACCGGAAGTGACGCGCGCGAGTTCCGGTTGGCCGGACCCCAGCGGCGGTGTGAGAGTCGGTCGCGAGCCGCTTGCAGGATTCTGATCCGGAGAAGCCAGGGTCAGAGCGGGTAGGTAAGCCCCCGCGTGGAATTGGGGACGGAAGCCTAAGACTGTCCTCAGAGCTTGGCTTCTTCCGGAGCTCTCCCACTTAGACCATGCAGATCTGGGGCACCGTGATTTCGACTTCAAGCAGTGTTTCAGGGCGCTGCTGACTCTGAGTGCCTCAGTCTGGCGGTAGCCAGGTTATATGGGACACCTCCTCATGGTTGGCTACCAGTACAGTGAACCATACACTGGATTTCTTACCATTCGCTCTCATTGTCGCGGACTTGGAAGCTGTTCTAAGCTCTGTACAGTACCCATCTTTTCCTGCCTGGGTGTTTAGGACCTCAGAGTAAATGGAGATCCTCCCTGCTGATGACCAAGCTGTTTCTCAGGACCTGTCAGTTTGACCTCCCAACCACTGACACATGGTAACACATGATACTAAACGTATTCGCTGCTAAACAAAATTCAGGCATGTAAGTGCCATCTAAAGCGTTGGTGGCCAAGGGAATGGGGCCTTCGCTCCGTTGATTTTTGCAAAGACCCTTCGCGGATCTCCTCCTACTTTATGAAGAGTAGGGTTCTCTACCTCTTCCAAATCCCTGACCGCCCCCCGCCCCTTGTTGTTATATTAGAGTGGAGGTATTTGCAATAAAACGTGGAGGTCAGCTTAACCTCTAAACTTCCAAGAAGCCGTAGGTGGCCCTCTGTCACACTAAGATTACTTAATGACCTCCAGTAGGTTTAAACTATTATCTTTTGTTTTTCTGCAAATCCATGCAAAAATCTCTTATAGGTTCTGGCACTGTTTATCTATCATGGCAAGACGGCTCCTTTTCCTAACTTTAATGTCTTTCAATTCTCCTTTGGGGCTGATGGCAGAAATTTTGTAGACAGACTACACTGATTTTTTGGAGAAATGTGTACAAGTGTTTCTGGTGTTGTAATGATATAGAATTTAATGTTCTGACAGCTATTGCCTATTAATTGTGTTATGAGCTGTGATTTTAGTTGTGTATTTTTAGCATAAATGATAGTAAGAAATTATTTATTAGGCAACATTTTATGAATTCTAGAATGTGTTTTTATTGACCTTTGGAAGAAGGATGGTGGTACCTAGATAAATGTGGCCGATTTGTATGGGTGTGAAATGACTCTATAGTAGAAATCTTTTATATTTTACTTCTTTGCCTATATTATTTTAAAACACTAAAGCTTTTTTTTTTTCCCTTTGAGGTATATATCCTACTTGATTAATACAGTTTAATTTCTGTGACTTACATTCCAGAATAAATATTGGTAGGTTACCTAACTTTCTGAGCTGGTCTGGATTGTGTTGATAAAATACTGCTTACTTATTTCATAGGATTGTCACAGTGATTAAGTGAGATAGTAAATGGGAAATCACTGTAGAAATGAAAATCCGGTGGTGTCAGTTTACTCTGAAAGCTGGAAATATATCAGTGCAGAATTCTGTTGCTTGTATCATTTCACAATTTGATGTTTTATATTAAGTGTGCTATTTATCTGAAAATATCACACACTTTTCTGAGATGATCTTTGCCCTACTTTTGAACCCAATAAAAGCTATCTAGGAATAGTTTGATACTGTAACCCATTGAATTAGTCACTGTGGTTAATAAGTCGGTGACTGGAAAATGAGTATAGTTTTGCATTTGGGAGTTTAAATCTGATCTTTCTTGGTCATCTTGTATTGTCACTTAAGAATTTCCAAGTGCAGAGGAAGGTGAAGTTTTTGGTGCTTATATATGGTTAACTAAAGGTTAAAAGTAGCCTTACTTTATTAAGTAAAAAAACTATCATTTTACCGAAACCCACTGAAAGCAATATTTAGAATTAAAAGCAACCTCTGTGAACATATTGTTATAGTCTTCCCCAGAAACAATCAGTAATTGGCTTGCCTGAGGTCATGTGGTTTAGGTAGTGCCAGAACCTGAACTGGAAATGAGGTCCCAAGTGTTCTTTCTGTTCTGCTAAGGTTGTCTCCAGGCATCTTTTTATGGTTTGGTAATATTTCCTGGTTTGTATGAAAATGATGTCTTTTATGTATTAAAGGGATTTATAGGTATACATTTCCCCCCCCTTTTTAGCTGATTTATTCTTGTAAATTCTAGGAAAACAAAAACACTGTACTTGGCAAGATTTGCAGTGGAATGGAATAAGGAAAGGTAAAAGAAAATTCTGTTCTTCAGAACAGCTATTCTGAATTCATGCTTCATTACTATCAGATATCAAGGTGTCTTCTTTCTGACAAGTGGAAAAGAGAGTATCTTTGTTACACATGTCTCTACTGAATGAATGTTGTTGGTAATAGGTAGGAGGAAACTATTAATTTCTTTGTTCATGCTAAAAAAAATTTCCCCAAACTGTTTATAATTTTAATATTCTGTTATATTATCTCTTAATCTGTAGAGTCATTTCTCTATTTTATTCTGGGTAAATAGCCACTGTAGGAATAGTTAACTCTTTGTCTTGTTGAGAACCTTTTTGCTTCTACTGATTTCACAAAACCTGTTTAGTCTTTCCCCGTTTTTGGAGATCAGAGGGCTAGATACTTACTATCACTGCTCTTTTGCCTAGTGCTCTTTGTTGGTGTCTCTCTCTCTCTCTTTGGTATAGAAATAAACGCCAGATTAGAGAATCTTTACTAACCTCAGAAACAAATTGGATGAGTTAAGTGATAATTTGTTTGTTGTTGTATTAGTTAATAATCTACCTTCACAGACTTGCAAACATTTTGAGGGGTAAACTTTTAAAGAGTTTATTGCTTCAAGGAACTCTGTTTGGGAAGCAACTTTGTATAGGGTTTGCCAAACTGATATTATATATTATGTAAACCCTCTGTAAAGCTCATTTAAAAATATTACGCTCCTTGAAGGTTTTGGAAATTTGAACAGGAGATACTTGTCTGTGTCAGATAAGATTAAGGCATTTAAAGCTTAAGGCATTTTTAAATTAAGCAAGGGCAACCCACTGAGTAATCCTATCCCAGCTTAATGGTAATTGCTGAAGAGTTTGTCGGTATCCAAAGATACATAGTCTTTTCAGTAGTGCATTGTGATGTTTTCTCTTGTTCTTGAAGTTCTTTAATAATAAGCTTGGTCTTTATAGATTTTTTTGGAAGGACTAGGTAGATAGTGTTAAGAGCCAGGGCCAAAAAGCTAGATTGCCTTGTTTCCAATTCCAGCTCTTACTACTGTGCAACCCTTTGGCTAGTTACTTCACCTCTTGCCATCTCAGTTTCCTCGTAGACAATGAAGTCAGTACCTTTACTGTTAGGGTTAAATGAATAGATTTAAGTAAAGCATTTAGAATGGCATATAGTTAACCATGACTGTTATCATTGTTACCATCCAGTAGCCTGCTGAGCAGTTGCTAAGAGAAAACTCTTTCCCAATCCTCTTTGAAAGCATGTCTTTTCACTGCTGCTTACTTGATCATTGTTTGCTCAGTATTTTTGTTTTGTTTTGTTTCAAGTTTTTATTTAAATTCTAGTTAACATACAGGGTAATATTGGTTTCAGGAGTAGAATTTAGTGATTCATCACTTACATTTGGTGTTCATCACAAGTGCCCTCCTCAATGCCCATCACTCATTTAGCCCATCCCCCGCCCACCTCCCTCCATCAACCCTCAGTTTGTTCTCTATAGTTGAGTCTCTTATATTTTGTTTCCCTCTCTTTTTTCCCCTTCCCTTTGTTCATCTGTTTTGTTTCTTAAATTCCACATATGAGTGAAATCATATGGTATTTGTCTTTCTCTGACTGACTTATTTCACTTAGCATAATACACTCTAGCTCCACCCATGTCGTTGCAAATGACAAGATTTCATTCTTTTTGATGGCTGAGTAATATTCCGTGTGTGTGTGTGTGTGTGTGTGTGTGTGTGTGTGTACATCTTTATCCATCACATCTTTATCCATCAGTTGATGGACATTTGGGCTGTTTCCATAATTTGGCTATTGTTGACGCTATAAACATCAGGGTGCATGTTGTTTGCTCAGTATTAATGAAGGTTCAGTAAATAAATATGTATACATTTCATTGTGTGTATATTTCACAACATATGTGAGATTCTTTTAAAAAATGATGTATTTCTGTAGGCTCTTCTCTCAACCTTTTTGTATTATTGTTAATAGTTTATTTGTGTAAGTCATAACAATTTGAGATTGAAATTTGAGAATTTGATGTTTAATGATATCTTCTAGCACTTTCTTTGCATGGGAAGATTATTCTGCAATGACATCTTTTGCCATATCTGTTCCTTCATCCAGTCAGTGAGCAAAAATCTTGTATCTTGGTCTTTTACCAGGTTTTGGGGAAAACAGTGGGAAGCAGAGACAAACATATTTTAGTTGGGAGCCTGATAGAGAAACAGGTATTTCAGTCGGGAGCCTAACAGAGAAAAAAGTAAATACAGAAATAAAAGAATAAACACAGTGTAATAAATATTATGAAGTAAACAAGGGTCTGAGAGAGAGTTAATGTGGATATGTGCCTGTTCCACAGTATATCTGGAATATAGCAACATGAAATGAGGTAGGAAACATACTCATGGTCCAGGTTATATAGAGCTTTGCAGGCCATGGAAATGAATTTGGATTTGATTTTGAGTGTAGTAGGAAGTCCTTCTACAGTTTCAAGTAGGGGAGTCATAGGATTTATAAGAAGTCCACTCTTGTTTATATGTGAAGGATGAATTGAAGGGGACAAGAATAAAAATGGAAAGAGAAGTTAGGAGTCCATGGCAGTAGTCTACGTGAGAGATGAAGATGGCCTGGACCAGAGTGGTGACAAAAAAGTGGAGAGCTGTAGGTGGATACTAAATATATTTGGAATAGGACTGGGTCCTGGATTAGATGTGAGGAGTAAGGAAATGAGA